GATGGTCATTGATAGACCAAACTCCTGTAACTCAAAACACCTCAGATATTATTTGTTGCAGTGATTTAATGCTTAGTAACCATATTACCTATTGTTCTAGCTCCCTCTAGCTCACCTAAAGATGAACTGAGATATTTGTGGGGGTTTTTTTGCAAAGTGGATTAGGGAGTAACAATGTCTACTAAAGATTATTTTTATTTCTTTATGTTGAGAATGATAATTGGTAATAAAAATGCATGTGTGTTCAATTTATTAGCTTACTTTAAAAGGCTAGGCATTGGTTTTAAATAGGATGTTTGCTGTGTTACAAACCATATTAACTAAATTGCCACTCTATTGTGTAGCAAGAGACTTATTTAATACTTGGGTTTCCATTTTAAAATCCACATCTTTTGTACAGTCTATTCAGATATGTTTAAATTGGACAAAAGGGATGTTATTTTTCCACAGTTTATGATCAGTCCTGTTAAAATGTCAAGAGCTATTGGTATCTACTAACTGAAGGTCAATATTCATAGATATCCTATAACCCAATGTACCAGTTAAAGAGGTAAAGTTAAAGAGGCGTTTATCATATTATAGTAAGCTGTAAAGTTTAGGCCGCAATCCTTAGTATTCAGAGGGGAAACAAACCTATCAAGTGACAAAGAGTCCATCCTCTAAACACAGATTATATCATTGATAAATAGTAGCGGACAAGTTTTGCATCAAAATTGCAATGATAAATCTCAATATTTAGAAAACATTTTTTACTCTATGATCCACATTAAAGAGACATATCCCAAAAAGACCCTACTTCACCTTCAGGCAAGCTAGAGCAATAGGCAACATGATTGTCTGGTGCTAAAATCCATTGCATAGATAGGTAGAATGGTAAAAAAAAGGGAAATCTAGACTATACAAACTCTGATTTATTATTAAGAAAGGTTTTCAGAAACATAGGGGTTGATTTATTAAAGGCAAACTTTGCAAGGGAATTTGTATATTGCAGTGGAATTTTCCTTTAGCTTAGTGAATGTGACAAAAATTAACTTTGCAAAGATTACCAAATCACAAGCAAGGAAAATAGGGAACGAAAAATTATTTTTAATTGCACATGATTGGATGATGGAAGTCAGCAGAACGTTACCTCATTCAGTAAGCTAAGGAAAAAAGGCATATTTACCATTTTGAAAACATGCACAGGATATACAGGATTAATTCTGAATGGATTAAATGAGATGATTTAAATTAACCCCCTAATTGATTTTTCATTCAAATTTATTTTGCTATGTATACCTCTATATTTTTAAAGGTTTTCTTAAATATTTAATTGTTTATGCCCTATACATTACATTATGGTTAAGACATATGGTTATACTTGTACTATCAATTTTATTTTATAACATAAAGTATTCAATTGTACACTTATTCAGTAGAACCCTGTACAACATAGAAACATTCTTTATGTTTTGGGTTTATCTTACATTTCTATATATTATGTATATTTGTATATTCTCAATTACATCTACTTTCTTAATACAAATACACAGTCATTACATTTGTGGCATGCTTACAAGCATGCATAGTGAATATGTCTGGTTGCATTTCACTTTTTTGGATAATCGTTTCACATACAATAGATTTTTAGTTTCACATTCTCTTATTTAATAGACAGGTAATTTGTTCTTTCTAGCTTTATTTTGGGTTCAGTTTCATTCATATGGGTTTCAAGTTTAACTCTACTCTTGAGAATGCATTCAATATCATGATACTCTTAACACTTTGGGGTCTATTCACGAAGCTGCCGAAGGATCTGGCCGTAGCTTCGGCCGATCCTTCGGCTAGCTTCCACCCCAGGACCCCTTCGGTTCAGTAGAACCGAAGGGGTTCTGTACGGGCTATTCACAATAGACCGTACAGCTCCCG